TCCCATGTTGAGTCATCCTTTTATCTCTCTCTCTCTCTCTCTCTCTCTCTCTCTCTCTCTCTCTCTCTCTCTCTCTCTCTCTCTCTCTCTCTCTCTCTCTCTCTCCCTCTCTCTATCTATCTATCTCCCTCTCTCTATCTATCTCTCTATCTATCTATCTACCCGAAACATCTGTACTCCGTTACCTGTCGTCTCTCTCTCATCCTCGCCGCTCAGTACACTTTCCGGGGTTGAAAGTCAGCACACTCCCTACACCAACTGGTTGTCAGTTTTATTTACCGAATCAACTGATTTTTGCGCTAGTCGGCCATAATGGAAGTATGGGGGGGGGCACGGAATTTGGGCTAATATACCGTAGGATAAACCGTGATTTAAGGTGATACATGGTGCGTTAAACTCTCACATCAATGGCTTATTAAGTGGGACTTTCAGTGGGGGGAGAGAGTGTGATAAAGGTCTACACAGGCAGAGGGAGATAAATCCTGTTCCTTGGCTCTAGAGCCCATCACCAGCATTATCAAGGCTGTGTATGTATGTGTGTGTGTGTGTGTGTGTATGTGTGTGTGTGTGTGTGTGTATGTGTGTGTGTGTGTGTACTCACCTAATTGTGGTTGCAGGGGTCGAGACTCAGCTCCTGGCCCCGCCTCTTCACTGATCGCTACTAGGTCCTCTCCCTCTCTGCTTCCTGAGCTTTGTCAAACCTCTTCTTACAACTATGTATGGTTCCTGCCTCCACTACTTCACTTGCTAGGCTATTCCACTTCCTGACGACTCTATGACTGAAGAAATACTGTGTGTGTGTGTGTGTGTGTGTATGTGTGTATGTACTCAGCTAGTTGAGGTTGCAGGGGTCGAGTCCGAGCTCCTGGCCCCGCCTCTTCACTGATCGCTACTAGGTCACTCTCCCTGAGCCGTGAGCTTTATCATACCTCTGCTTAAAGCTATGTATGGATCCTGCCTCCACTACATCGCTTCCCAAACTATTCCACTTACTGACTACTCTGTGGCTGAAGAAATACTTCCTAACATCCCTGTGATTCATCTGTGTCTTCAGCTTCCAACTGTGTCCAAACTCTGGAACATCCTGTCTTTGTCCACCTTGTCAATTCCTCTCAGTATTTTGTATGTCGTTATCATGTCCCCCTTATCTCTCCTGTCCTCCAGTGTCGTCAGGTTGATTTCACTTAACCTCTCCTCGTAGGACATACCTCGTAGCTCTGGGACTAGTCTTGTTGCAAATCTTTGCACGTTCTCTAGTTTCTTTACGTGCTTGGCTAGGTGTGGGTTCCAAACTGGTGCCGCATACTCCAATATGGGCCTAACGTAGACGGTGTGCAGGGTCCGGAACGATTCCTTATTAAGATGTCCGAATGCTGTTCTGAGGTTTGCTAGGCGCCCATATGCTGCAGCCGTTATTTGGTTGATGTGCGCTTCAGGAGATGTGCCTGGTGTTATACTCACCCCCAAGATCTTTTTCCTTGAGTGAGGTTTGTAGTCTCTGGCCCCATAGACTGTACTCCGTCTGCGGCCTTCTTTGCCCTTCCCCAATCTTCATGACTTTGCACTTGCTGGGATTGAACTCCAGGAGCCAATTGCTGGACCAGGTCTGCAGCCTGTCCAGATCCCTTTGTAGTTCTGCCTGGTCTTCGATCGAGTGAATTCTTCTCATCAACTTCACGTCATCTGCAAACAGGGACACCTCAGAGTCTATTCCTTCCGTCATGTCTTTCACAAATACCAGAAACGGCACTGGTCCTAGGACTGACCCCTGTGGGACCCCGCTGGTCACAGGTGCCCACTCTGACACCTCGCCACGTACCATGACTCGCTGCTGTCTTCCTGACAAGTATTCCCTGATCCAGTGTAGTGCCTTCCCTGTTATCCCTGCTTGGTCCTTCAGTTTTTGCACCACTCTTGTGTGGAACTGTGTCAAACGCCTTCTTGCAGCCCAAGAATATGCAATCCACCCACCCCTCTCTCTCTTGTCTTACTGCTGTCACCATGTCATAGAACTCCAGTAGGTTTGTGACACAGGATTTCCCATCCCTGAAACCATGTTGGCTGCTGTTGATGAGATCATTCCTTTCTAGGTGTTCCACCACTCTTCTGATAATCTTCTCCATGACTTTGCATACTATACATGTCAGTGACACTGGTCTGTAGTTTAATGCTTCATGTCTGTCTCATTTTTTAAAGATTGGGACTACATTTGCTGTCTTCCATGCCTCAGGCAATCTCCCTGTTTCGATAGATGTATTGAATATTGTTGTTAGGAGTACACATAGCGCCTCTGCTCCCTCTCTCAGGACCCATGGAGAGATGTTATCTGGCCCCATTGCCTTTGAGGTATCTAGCTCACTCAGAAGTCTCTTCACTTCTTCCTCGGTTGTGTGCACTGTGTCCAGCACTTGGTGGTGTGCCCCACCTCTCCGTCTTTCTGGAGCCCCTTCTGTCTCCTCTGTGAACACTTCTTTGAAACTCTTGTTGAGTTCCTCACATACTTCACGGTCATTTCTTGTTATCTCTCCTCCTTCCTTAGCCTGATTACCTGGTCCTTGACTGTTGTTTTCCTCCTGATGTGGCTGTATAACAGTTTCGGGTCAGATTTATCTTTCGCTGCTATGTCGTTTTCATATTGTCCTTGGGCCTCCCTTCTTATCTGTGCATATTCGTTTCTGGCTCTACGACTGCTCTCCTTATTCTCCTGGGTCATTTGCCTTCTATATTTCTTCCATTCCCTAGCACACTTGGTTTTTGCCTCCTTGCACCTTTGGGTGAACCATGTGCTCATCCTGGCTTTTTCATTATTCCTGTTACCCTTGGGTACAAACCTCTCCTCAGCCTCCTTGCACATTGTTGCTACATATTCCATCATCTCATTAACTGGCTTCCCTGCCAGTTCTCTGTCCCACTGAACCTCGTTCAGGAAATTCCTCATTTCCGTGTAGTCCCCTTTCTTGTAGTTTGGCTTCATTTGTCCTGGCCTTCCTGCTTCTTCCTCCACTTGTAGCTCTACTGTGTATTCAAAGCTCAAAACCACATGATCGCTGGCCCCAAGGGGTCTTTCATATGTGATGTCTTCAATATCTGCACTACTCAAGGTGAATACTAAGTCCAGTCTTGCTGGTTCATCCTCTCCTCTCTCTAGCTTGTAGTGTCCCTTATGTGTTGGTACATGAAGTGTGTGTGTGTGTGTGTGTGTGTGTGTGTGTGTGTGTGTGTGTGTGTGTGTGTGTGTGTGTGTGTGTGTATGTGTGTGTGTGTGTGTGTGTGTGTGTGTGTGTGTGTGTGTGTGTGTGTGTTGTGTGTGTGTGTGTGTGTGTGTGTGTGTGTGTGTGTGTGTGTATGTGTGTGTGTATGTGTGTGTGTGTGTGTGTGTGTGTGTGTGTGTGTATGTGTGCCCCCACTTCTAAGTATTCATACTGCTAATAAATACCGGTAAATACCAGTAATTCTAAGCTTACCAATACTTCTAACACTTATCGATTCTACTTATAAAATACAGAAAGTAGCTAGGTTGTAAAGTTTAGCTTGTCTCAGCTTAAGTGTCTGACGTTATCCCTCACTACCGCTTTACTCCTTGCACTCTCCTCTATGCTATTTCTACTGTAATTCTGGTAACAGCTTGCAGGAGTGAGTGACCAGTATCTAACAGTGATGCAAGACCAGAACTCAGAACCCTGCAATATGCAACCTCAACAGGTGAATACTTGCGCTGGCAGCGGTGTGATGTCAAGTTGCCAGATGCTGATGACGTAGTTGTCATACATAGGCCTTCTATCACTATTTTGTAAATCCTTCACCCGTGATGTTTATGACCATACATGCTCATGCATCCCGCGTTCCTCAAGTGATTTCACTTTTCACTTATGACAGAATACACTTCACATTCGGTGTTACACTTTATATGTATAATGGCACACAACTTGTTGTGACGTCACTGCTTCAGTAGGCCTACTGCTGCCACCTTCCCTTGTTGTATATTTTATTTTTCCTTTCTCCTTTTGCTTATTAACTTTTTCACTCTCACTGTATGGTGCCCCACATTTCACTTGTTAACCAAACGCTGGTAATTCTTGAACACCCGCTTCCACACTCACTTTGATCTTTGTATGTTTGAATCTGTGTGGCAACAGTGCCTAGTAGAACCACAATGGTTTGGCACTTTGAAAAATTAATGATTTCAGGCTTCCTCTCGACTTTTTTTAACTAATAACTTTAGTTATCACTCGTAGGATTGTTCACTGACGTTGTCACTACTACTGATTACTGCTAGCAGTTACTGCACACCTTAAAAACACTAAGGTTCTCGGAGCCTTGTGTACCCACGTCTGCACCCACTGTGTGTGTGTGTGTGTGTGTGTGTGTGTGTGTGTGTGTGTGTGTGTGTGTGTGTATTTCTACAACCATTCCTACAACTACTACTACAACTATCCCTACAACATCTATAAGCAAGTTTATTCAGGTATACACAAATACAGTTACACAGATTATCATACATAGCAACATATGTGTAGAGAACCTGGGATAACCCAACAAAGTCAGACAAACTGACTTATTTCCATATCTTTACCAATGTTGTCCTCACAACAACAGCATTTACAGCACACTCCCAGTGATAATAACAACAATAACAGCAACCCAGACAAGAACAGGCGCAGGTATAATAATATTACTACTACTACTACTACTACTACTACTACTACTACTAATAATAATAATAATAATAATAATAATAATAATAATAATGGAGTACTCCGACATTAGAAAGGAGACGAAGTTAAGGGTAAAGCCAATCCAGGTACGTAGCCAGGTAGCCAGCTAGGTACGTAGCCAGGTAGCCAGCTAGGTACGTAGCCAGGTAGCCAGCCAAGTACACAGCCAGGTAGCCAAACAAGTACACAGCCAGGTAGCCAGCCAGCCAATTACGTAGCCAGCCAGGTAAACACGTACATCAACACCTTCTTACCTAGCTCACGCACCTCAACTCATCAACTCACCTTGTCATTTGCTCAGCGACGAGGGCCATGGATGATCACTGTACTTATGGTCCCGTGGCAGCAGGACCATCACTCCCACACACTATGGTAGCACTGAGACACACATGGACAGGCTGCCCTACACACAACACACCTTTGCAGACACCAGAAATAGGCTTCTCTTGGCATTTATTTTACACAGGGGGTGACAGAGGGGCGTCTGGCCAGCACTTTAAACGTGGTTTAAGGCAGCTCTTTTAAACGGTTTATCCAGTGGGTTTTTGTAGGTGTGGAGGGGTGTGGTGTGGGTGTTTTAAGGCAGTGGTGAAGTGTACACTGGGGTAGCAACCATCACACTGGCGAGCAATGTACCAGTAGTGTGTGACAGTGTAGTGGCGTCCCCAGCTGTGTGTGTGTGTGTGTGTGTGAGCGAACGATACAAACCTGTCTCCATGTGATCACTGCTGCACGAACTGTGGTGATATGTGGACGATGATATCTGGTGTATGTGTGTGTGTGTGTGTGTGTGCGTGTGTGTGTGTGCTCACCTAGTTGTACTCACCTAGTTGAGGTTGCAGGGGTCGAGTCCAAGCTCCTGGCCCCGCCTCTTCACTGATTGCTACTAGGTCCTCTCTCTCCCTGCTCCATGAGCTTTATCAAACCTCGTCTTAAAAATGTATGATTCTTGCCTCCACTATGTCACTTTCTAGGCTATTCCACTTCCTAACAACTCTATGACTGAAGAATTACTTCCTAAAATCCTTTTGACTCATAGGAGTCTTCATCTTCCAGTTGTGACCCCTTGTTGCTGTGTCCCATCTCTGGAACATCCTGTCTTTGTCCATCGTGTCAACTCCTTGCAATATTTTATATGCCGTTATTATGTCTCCCCTGACCCTCCTGTCCTCCAGTGTCGTCAGGCCGATTTCCCTTAACCTTTCTTCATAGGACATTCCCCTTAGCTCTGGGACTAGTCTCGTTGCAAACCTTTGCACTTTCTCTAATTTTCTGACGTGCTTAACCAGGTATGTGTGTGTGTGTGTGAGTATACTCACCTAGTTATGGTTGCAGGGGCCGAATCACAGCTCCTGCCTCCGCATCTTCACTGGTCGCTACTAGGTCACTCTTCCTGCTCCAGGAGCTTCATCATACCTCTTCTTAAAGCTATGTATGGATCCTGCCTCTACTACATCGCTTCCCAGACTATTCCACTTCCTGACAACTCTGTGGCTGAACAAACACTTCCTAACATCCCTGTGATTCATTTGAGTCTTCAACTTCCAACTGTAGCCGCTTGTTGCTGTGTCCCATCTCTGGAACATCCTGTCTCTGTCCACCTTGTCAATTCTTCTCAGTATTTTATATATTGTTATCATATCCCCCCTATCTCTCCTGTCCTCCAGTGTCGTCAGGTCGATTTTCCTTAACTCCGGACTAGTCTTGTTGCAAATCTTTGCACTTTCTCTAATTTCCTTACGTGTTTGGCTAGGTGTGGGTTCCAAACTGGTGCTGCATACTCCAATATATGCCTGACATACACGGTGTACAGGGTCCTGAATTATTCCTTACTGAGATGTCGGAAGTTCTGAGGTTTGCTAGGCTCCCGTATGCTGCAGCAGTTATTTGGTTGATGTGTGCCTCAGGAGATGTGCCTGGTGTTATACTCACCCCCAAGATTCATTCCCTTGAGTGAGGTTTGTAGTCTCCGGCCCCTTAGACTGAATTCCGTCTGCGGTCTTCTTTCCCCTTCCCTAATCTTCATGACTTTGCACTTGGTGGGGGTTGAACTCCAGGAGCCAGTTGCTGGACCAGGACTGCAGCCTGTCCAGATCCCTTTGTAGTTCTGCCTGGTCCTCGTCCGATTGAATTCTTCTCGTCAACTTCACATCATCTGCAAACAGGGACACTTTTGAGTCTATTCCTTCCGTCATGTTGTTCACAAATACCAGAAACAGCACCGGTCCTAGGACTGACCCCTGTTGGACCCTGCTCGTCACTGGCGCCCACTCTGACACCTCGCCACGTACCGTGACTCGCTGTTGTCTTCCTGACAGGCATAGCCTGATCCACTGCAGTGCCTTCCCTCTTATACCTGCCTGGTTCCCCAGCTTATGGAATTGTGTCAAAAGCCTTCTTACAGTTCAAGAAAATGCAATCTACCCACCCCTCTCTCTCTCTCTTGTCTTACTGCTGTCACCCTGTCATAGAACTCCAGTAGGTTTGTGACACAGGATTTCCCATCCCTGAAACCTTGCTGGCTGCTGTTGATAAGCTCATTTCTTTCTAGGTGTTCCACCACTCTTCTCCTAATAATCTTCTCCATGACCCTGCATACTATACATGTCAGTGACACTGGTCTCTAGTTTAGTGCTTCATGTCTGTCTCCTTTTTTTAAAAATTGGAACGACATTTGCTGTCTTCCATGCTTCAGGCAGTCACCCTGTTTCGATAGATGTGTTGAACATTGTTGTTAGTGGTGCACATAGCACCTCATAGTGGTGCTGTTTGCTTACACACATAGTGTGTGTACTCATATGTACTCAGCTACATGTGTTTGCAGGGGTCAATTCAAAGCTCCTGGTCCCGCCTCTTCACGGGTGTGTGTGGGGGTGTATGTGCATGTGTGTGTGTGTGTGCACTCACCTATATGCGGTTGCAGGTGTCGAGTCACAGTTCCTGGCCAGGCCTCTTTGCTGGCCGCTACTAGGTCCACTATATCCCTGCTCCATGAGCTTTATCGTACCTCTTCTTAAAGCTATGTATGGATCATGCCTCCACTACATCACTCTCCAGATTGTTCCACTTCCTGACAACTCTGTGACTGAAGAAATACTTCCTAACATCCCTGTGATTCCACTGAGTCTTCAACTTCCAACTGTGACCCCTTGTTGCTGTGTCCCATCTCTGGAACATCCTGTCTCTGTCCACCTTGTCAATTCCTCTCAGTATTTTATATATTATTATTATATCTCCCGTATCTCTCCTGTCCTCCAGTGTCGTCAGGTTGATTTCCCTTAACCTCTCCTAGTAGGACATACCCCTTAGCTCCAGGACTAGTCTTGTTGCAAACTTTTGCACTTTCTTTAATTTCTTGACGTGTTTGACCAGGTGTGGGCTCCAATCTTGTGCTGGATACTCCAATATGGGCCTCACGTACACGGTGTACAGTGTATGGAATGACTCAGGTGTCAGAAAGTTATTCTTAGGTTTGCCAGGCGCCCGTATGCTGCAGCAGTTATTTGGTTGATGTGCGCCTCAGGAGATGTGCTCGGTAAGATGCTCACCCCATGATCTTTCTCCTTGAGTGAAGTTTGTATCTTTGACCTCCGATCCTGTACTTCGTCTGCGGCCTTCTTTGTCCTTCTCGATCTTCATGACTTTGTACTCACCTATTTGTGGTTGCAGGGGTAGAGTCTTAGCTCCTGGCCCCGCCTTTTCACTGGTTGCTGCTGGGTCCTCTCTCTCCCTGCTCCATGAGCTTTATCAAACCTCGTTTTAAAACTATGTATGGTTCCCGCCTCCACTACGTCACTTTCTAGGCTATTCCACTTCCTGACAACTCTATGACTGAAGAAATACTTCCTAACATCCCTTTGACTCATCTGAGTTTTCAACCTCCAATTGTGACCTCTGTGACTTTGTGTGTGTGTGTGTGTGTGTACTCACCTATTTGTGGTTGCAGGGGTCGAGTCACAGCTCCTGGCCACGCCTCTTCGCTGATTGCTACCTTTGTGCGTGTGTGTGTGTGTATGTGTGTATGTGTGTGTGTGTGTGTGTGTGTGTGTGTGTGTGTGTGTGTGTGTGTGTGTGTGTGTGTGTGTGTGTGTGTGTGTGTGTGTTGTGTGTGTGTGCGTGCGTGCGTGTGCGTGTGTGCGTGTGCCCGTGTTCGTGTGTACGTACATTCTTGTACCCTGGCGTGCCTGAGAGTAACACCATCGCTCAACAGATGGCAGCACCACCTGGTCTCACACTAACAAAAAACAGGAACCTAACATCTGAGCCATCACTATAGTATTCCATCAATCGTCAACCTCTATAACATTTTCCATAACAACAAAATATAACACGTATAACAACACAAATAACAAACGTTCATCATTTCTATAACGAATAAGTAAGTAAGAAAATTTATTCAGGTACACATAAATACAGTTACATAGATTATCATACATAACAACATACGTGTAGAGAACCTGGGATAACCCAAAACAAAGTCAATTATTAATTATTATTAGAGATTAGCCGGTATTCTCCCGGCCCGGGCCTTTTCCAAGTGGTGGCCCGGCCTTGGCTCCCTCTTTAGGGAGTGTCTGAGACCTAAGTCTCCCATGGGAGGAGGCACAAGTACCTCCTCATCTTTGGGACCAACTGTCCCCAGGCCTAGCCACAAGCTAGGCCTCTCTGGTCTGCCATCCCCGCCCCAAGGGGGCAAATGGGAATGACAGTCTTATGAGCTAAAGGCTCGGGCTCAGGCACCTACCCTACCCTAGAAGGGTTAGGCATGGTGTCGATGATCAACAAAGTCAAATTGACTTATTTCCTTTGGGGTCCTTTTAATACCTTATTATTATACTATAAAGGAGATATATTAGGAATAAGGAAGAAAGAGTTATTTATATCTGCATGTGTGTTAGCTAAAAAAAAAATTACAAAATCATTCTCCTGCCTTTCTGTGGCTACATACATTAGGTACCTTATGACTGTCTTCTTGAACTGGTTCATGCCATGACTGGCTTTGACATGTGCAGGCAACATGACTTAAGAAATCGTAATGACACGATTGCAAATAAACCATACCCCCGGCCGGGATTGAACCCGCGGTCATAGAGTCTCAAAACTCCAGCCCGTCGCGCTAACCACTAGACCAGCTAGCCACAATAAGATTCATCCAACTAGGTATATTTCTACACCATAGGAAGGTTAGCACAGGCACCTCTGTGACCACAAATGCAAGTTTTTACAGACGAATCTCCAGCTAGCGTGGCCGTGACGAACTCTAGCTCAAGTCCCTTCACTGCCGTCAACATGACTTAAGAAATCTATGACCGCGGGTTCAATCCCGGCCGGGGGTATGGTTTATTTGCAATCGTGTCATTACGATTTCTTAAGTCATGTTGACGGCAGTGAAGGGACTTGAGCTAGAGTTCGTCACGGCCACGCTAGCTGGAGATTCGTCTGTAAAAACTTGCATTTGTGGTCACAGAGGTGCCTGTGCTAACCTTCCTATGGTGTAGAAATATACCTAGTTGGATGAATCTTATTGTGGCTAGCTGGTCTAGTGGTTAGCGCGACGGGCTGGAGTTTTGAGACTCTATGACCGCGGGTTCAACCCCGGCCGGGGGTATGGTTTATGTGCAGGCAGTCTGTTCCAGTCCTTTATTACTGTACAATAAAGGTGTT